CCACCCTGTCCGCCCCAGCCCTGGCCACTCACTGGCTCGCTCCTCCTCTCCCTTCTTGTTTGCTGCAAGGATCCCTGCCTCCAGCTCCTCCTGCTCCAGCAGGTCCACGTAGCCCAGCTCCTGCAGGAGGCACAAAGAGCCCTCTGGGGCTTGCATCAAGTCCTCCTTGGCCAGATGGAGCAGCCAATGCTCAAACCCCCTTGCAGAAAGCCTGCAGCCCTGCAGAGCGTCCTCCTTCTTGGGCAGGGAGCCCTCTCCAGCTGGGGCACCACCGTTAAAGCCGTCCTGGGTGCCACCCCAGCCCCGGTATCCCCCATCTGCCAGGCTCCTGTGAGCCCCTACCAGTGCTTTCTGCTCCCGGTCCATGCTGAGCTGCTCCAAGTAGCAGTCGAGGTTCTCCCGTTGCAGACAGCGCAGGGCCAGGACAGGGTCCTGCAGCGCCCGGTACAGCTCCTGAGCATCCTGGTTTTCCAGGGCATCATCCACATGCTCTAAAGCCCCATGGACTAGGGAAGAGGCCAGAGAGGTAAATCATCCCATGACTCCAGGGATAAGAGTAAACTGGAACCACAAGTCCACATGCCAAAAATTTTAATTTCTCCTTGGAAAGAGCCAATGAACCCTGCTCCTGCCAGGTCTGAGGCCTGAGGAGACATCTCCTTTCTGCTACCTCTAACGTCCAGGCTAGGTTCTTCCTTCCAGCCTGGGAGTGCCAGGATGGCACCAGATTTGCCTGATAAGCTCTGTATTGACAGCAGCAGTTCTGCAGACCCCCCAGAAGAAGAGCTGCAGCTTTGCTCACCGTTCACTTTGTTGATGTTCCCTTGTATTTCAGCCTGGGTCAGACACCGGTCGTAGATGTCCTCCCCTTCCGGGATCCCCTGCAGGTACTGGAGACAGATTCCCCACCGTGAGCTTTCTGCCCAGATGCATCCCACTAGCTGTGGGCCAGCAGAGGGGACCCTCTGGAGATATCTGGACTCATTTACCTTCCCCAGGCCCTGCAGTCAGCCAGTACCAAGAGAAGAACCATTTCCTCCCTACCTTTCCCTGTCTTTGAACAACGCAAGGGCTCAAGATTTGGGCTTTGCTTGCCAGAGACACAGGGACATGCTCTGACCAAGATGAACCCCTCCAGCTGGAAGCAGCTATCACCAGTGAAGGGACTGCTTCTTCTCCCAGGACCTCCATGCTGTACTTACCCTGTTCCTGGCATTGCTGGCTTTCTGCAGCTTCGCCTGGTAGAGCACCTCCTGGTAGACAGCTGCCACGGGCTCCCGCAGGTTGAGCAGCATGGCACTGGGGTTGCGCAGGGCCTCCATGGTCTGCTCCACCACTCCCCTCTCCACCGCTTTGTTAATGGCCAGCACGGCTGCGTGGACTGGGGGCAAAGCAGGAAGGAGAGACATGAGACAGCTGCCCTGGGGAGATGGTGGATGGCCCATTACAGCCCTTGATGCCCTGCTCTATCTGCCTCTAGCCCTGCATGCAGCGGGACAAGCCACCCCAAGCCTGATGGTAGAGGATCTCCCTTCTCCAAGGGCAGTGCCCTGTGCCCAGACAGTCTCGATTTCTCTAGAGCAATCCAGCTAATGCAAACCCCAGGCGCTGCCAGCTGGGAAGAGGATGTGCCAGCCCTGTGCCGGTCTGAAGGAGAGCAGCAAGGTGCCCAAGCTGCATTTAGAGCTCCTCAAAAGCACCACGTGGTTTGCATGGACTTGCTGGGTCCGGATTTGGCATTCAGGGGGCCGGCATGTTCAGCAGCGGGAATCCTGAGCTGAGATGCTGCTATGACCACCGCAGGTCACCGCTTTCCCCATGGCTCCCCCTCCCCTGCCGCTTCATCCACCGAGAGCTCGTTGGCCAGGAGGCCCCCAATCTTGCTGAAGGCAGGCAGCTGCAGGCCGTACTTCTCCAGCTCCCGCTTCATGTTGTTGATCTCCTCCTCTGGAGCAGAGCAGAGAGGTCACTGCTCTGGCCCAGCACAGCACTCGAGCCATGCAGACCTGCCCGACCCAAGAGCAGACAGCAGAGCAGACAACAGAGCAGGAGCAGACAGCTCCTCTGCCAAGCCCGAGGGCGCAGAAAACGCCCGTGTCGGGGCCGGCATTGCCAAGGCAGCTCCGGAAAAGCTCGCTCGAGGTCTTTATTCTCAGCAACCCTTGCATGGAAGGAATGCAAGAGCATCGGTAGCACAGACAGACAAACATGAGTCGCCAGCCCCAACCCAGGTTTTCTCACATGGGTTCGTACCTGTGAAGTCCACTTTCCCGTACAAGTCCTGGATCTGCGGAGCCAGCCCCAGCTTAAACAGGTACAAGCTGAAAGATGAAGCAGACACACACTGACTGTTCAGACACTTGCTTCTCCCTCCCAATGCAGCAATTCAAGTATTTTCTGTCCTAGGGAAGGGAGGAGGCCCTGCAGCCTCGCAGAGAGAGGGAGAGGAGGATTTGGCAGTCCTGTGGCCACCATAGACTCACTGAAACATCTACAGCCAAGCCACCCCCCAGCCCTGTGCCTCACTTTCTCCTACGAGGAATAGGGATAATCCTTTATTAAGCCCAGACACTTCTTTAAAGAAATGCATGAGCATGATTCCAGGTTTCCAAGTCTAAGCACTTGGATCCCATGGGCTCTTATATCTCCCTCTGTCCCAAAGGGTTTCACATCAGGACGCATCCTGCTGAGTCTGTCAGATGTAGGATTAAGCAGACACAAGGAGTGCCCGAGGCTGGGATTTGGGAGCCTTCCCACCTTCTCGATGCCAGTAAAGGGCTCCATACTATGAACGTGAACCAAGATGACAACTTTGGCCCAGGGACCAGGAATGGGGACACTCGCTGGCACCCACCTGAGCGCATGGATGCAGTAGACCACCCGTGGCATGTTCTTCTTGTCGTAGATGTCGGTGGTCTCCGGGTGGAAGATCTGCCAAGGACACAGGAGTTAGGCTCGGACCCAGACGCTCCACGTAGATGACAGGGCTCAAGGGGCCACCCCGGCGAGGGACAGGGGACCGTGACAAGGGGAAGCCTCTCGGCACACCAGCCTTTCCCACCTCCTGCCCCACTGTCCCCACGGCACGTAGCCCCAAGCAGGCAGGGCGCTGCCACGAGGGTTTCCCCCAAAAGCCAGCCCAGGGCAAGCCGAGGGGACGCATTACCGAAGGAAGCCCCACGTGGGTCAGGGCCTCACGCCAGTAGTTGATGTTATCCGTGTGCCGAAAGTGAAGTCCGGTTGCCTAGACGGGAGGAGATGGAACCAGCTCAGACTCAAACTCATCTTCTCCCATCCCTGGGGCCACCCGCTGCCCCAAACCCACCGAGCAGGAGCCAGCACGCAAAGTTAAACCCGCAGGCAGGTCTGCAGCCCTCTGGAGCAGCAGAGCTGACAGAGCCTACTTGCAACCCTGCTACATTAAACTGACCCAACTCACTCACTCATTGCAACCAGCACATTTCCCCCCACTTTGCATTCATCAGGGATGGAAAGACTCCACCAGCCACAGGTTTCACACGGTTCGTGCACCCCGTTGCAGTACCAGAAGCAGCGTTTGCACTTGGGGAACGATCCCCCAATGCCACAGCCCCATCTTACCTTGTACCGCAGCTGCTCGCGGTCGTAGATCTTCTTTAGGGGCACAACGTCCGGGGCAAAGCAGTGGCCCAGCTTGGCCAGGACGACGCCGTTTCGCAAGCTCTCCTCCAGCTCCGTGGGGGGGGCCAGCTCCTCGTGCAAGCAAGCCTCCATCCAGCTGGCAGCACAGAGATAGGGCGGCACGTTGCAGACCCTCAGCACCCACCAGCACCCGCACCCCAGGCCCCATCCAGACAGGGAAAACAGCCACCCAAGGGAGAGATCCCCCCCAATAAATCCACCTCAATGGAGCAGTGGGAAAAGGCTGGCCCTCCAACCCACCCCTTTTGCTGTTGGGTTTAGCAGAAGGTCATTTCTCAGCGTGCCAGTTTGGGTGCAAGCAGATGTCTGAACGACCCAAAAAAATATATAGATGCAAAAAAAGGAAAACTACCTCTGAAGGACCAGAAAGCGCTGGGAGCAGACAGGGTTTTACCAGCTGTTGAATGTTGCAGCCTCTGCCCACCCAGAGCCCCTTTTCCATGCTATCCTTGTCCCCACTTGTGCTCCCTCTCCCCCAGATGGGGGCCCCCGGCCAGCCCTCACCGCTTGGCCTCCTCCAGGTGACACAGGTACTGGTAGGCGACTTTCTCCCGCCGCCGCTCATCCATCTCGTCGGCGGTGAGGCGCTCGTCTGGGCGGCGGGACCGACAAAGCAGGGGCAAAAACAGACATTCTGGGGTGGGTCTTTTTCTTTGTTTTGTTTTAAATATATATATATTGTTTACATATATGTTTAAGCATATATATAGTGTGCGTGTATTTGCTATTTATGCGTGTGCATATGTATATCTATACATATAGACAGATGCATTTACATATATATGTGCATATATGTATATACCAATATATATAGTGTGCGTGTATTTGCTATTTATGCGTGTGCATATGTATATCTATACATATAGACAGATGCATTTACATATATATGTGCATATATGTATTTACCCACCGCAATGAGGCTTTGCAAAGCAAAACCGGGCTTGGCGGT